TGGAAAATAAATAACAATAGAACTCAGTTCTCATTTACTCCATCTGAGGGTTGAGGAAAAGCTTAGACTCCTGCATATGCCACAAATGAGATCCTGGAAGAGTGTATTGAAGGTTATCTGAACTCTTCTGGGGTTAAAGGTGAGGATGAGTAGCTCACTAGTATAAATTACTCATCTGTGCCTATGCGTGTCAGGATCATACATTCATGAGTTTGTTGTTAGTTCGGGACTGAATTAATTAACATGCTTCTGGCATAGCAACCTCTTTGTAGTAGAAATTCAGTAAGCGTTTGGACAGCACTCTCAGGCACATGCTTGTGATTTCTGGTGTTGTCCTGTACAGGGCCAGGAGCTGGACTTGATAATCCTTATGTGTCCCTTCCAACTCAGGATATTCTGTGAAATAACTTTTGTTTGTTTGCCACAATCCTTAGCATCTGCTGTTTGGTGTCACTTGCTCTGGATGGATATTACTGCTATGAAATAATAAAATAAATAATGATACTGTGAAATAAGAAAGAATTTCCTCTATTTTGTGTCTGTTTGTATAATTATTGCAAGAGAGAATTTAGATGCAGCTGAAGGATTTGCACTGACAAGTAGAGTGTGAAAAAGCTAAATCTTAGCAAAACAGTGAAGTAAGATTCCTTTCAGATTATCCAGAGCAAGAGAGCTTTTAAATGCTTATGCAAAGTTTTTAGTGGTAGAAGGCAAAAGTTTTATCTGAGGCTTTATCATACTGCTGTGTATGACAAATTGTACCAACCAGTACAATGCTTTAAAAACTTGTGGAACATAACTGCTGTCATAAATGGACATACCTTGGTTTAACAGTGTCTCACTGTTTTGTTTTAAATTAACTATTACTTCTATTGTTGGACATCTTTTTCATATGTAAGTATCTGCATGGTTTTATCCTTTACTGCTTAGCAAGATAAGTAGCAACATTTTTTAATAAATTACCTGAACAATGCAGTGGGAGTTGAGATTCTGGCAGTGTGTAGATCTCTGAAGTCACTAAATTTGAGCTGTAACAGCAGCCTCGACCATGGAAGACTCTCTGATAGTCTTTGAAAATTTCAGAGTAGCTGGAAAATAAGAGATATATCTCCACTATGTGCAGCATAAATAGCATTATGATAGTGTTCAGTTGTTTGAGTGAGTACTCAGTAGAGTCTCAGAGGCTTTAAGGGAAGAGCTGTAGGGGTATGCAGGTAGCTAGATCTGTCATGCCCATCTCTGTGTGTTATTCTTAACACACTTTGTTATAGTGCCTTGAATTGGCAGGATGACTGTGGAGGACGTAAGTCTAATTGGGAGGAGGAAGAAAGTCTCTGAACACTTTCATCTATGACAGTGTCTGTCAGAAAACATGAAAGACTATTCCTGTGGTACTTAATTAAGCCTTGAGTCTCTGTAACGAAAACAGCAAACAATTAATTAATGATTAAAATTAACTGTGTGTCCATTGTGTAGTGATTTATGTACATAATTAATGCTGTAGCATTTTAAGGTGTTAGCTGTCCTTTACAGAGCTGTATAATAAATGGTGGCTTCAGAGGGTGTAACTTAAAATTCAGATTAGCATTTACTCCAAAAAATTCTCAGTGCTAAGAGGATAACTAGAAGCAAGAGTAAGTCCTCCTGCCGATTTTCTATGAATGTGAAGAGATGTCAGTTTTTGTTCCTACCTGCTCTAGCTATCTAGATAGGGTTTTTTTCTGTTTCTAGATGGATGCTTTATGCTGCTTGTATTCCCAGGCTTCCAGAATGACTGATTAAACAACCATGTTTAATTAAATTATACATATGTGTAAGGTACTAATGCTCAGTTTGAGTTATCCCAGTTTTCCTCAGCTCAGGGTTTGTGTCACGCTTATAAAGCTGTTGTGGTGTTTCACTTTGCAAGACCTAACTGACCTCAGAGCACTAGTCTTATTTTATAAAAGCACTTGGTGACTTTGGGTTCTTCCTTTGACTTGCAGTGAGATACAAGCTTTTGGGGAGCTGAAGGACTGTTGGAATCAGACAGAAGTCCAGTGTCCAAAGAGAGCGAGATATTGTATTTCATAGTTGTTAGTAACGCTTGGATCTAATAAAATTAGGTTCACTTAAGCCCTACAGCCTAAGAAAAGCGATATGCACATCTGTGATAAAAACTTGGACCTTGGCTTCATCTCTGAACACACACTTTATCTTTTACCTTTTGGACAGAGTGGAAGGCTGAAATTCAGAGAACAAGTGCACAGTGCACTGATCTGCTCACAGGATTTTCGCCATGTGGTGATAGAGTTAGGAAGGATGACCGTTTTCTGTTGTGTCCAATCTCTTTGTCTTCACTCCAGTTTTTTTCTGAACAAGGTTATTTGAAGGTTCACTCAAAATGCACGTTCAGTTTAACTGTGGTACTTTGTATAGTTAAGTACTTTTACAAATCCTCAGAGCTTAAAATAGTATTTGAAAACAGTTTTTTACTTTGTAAAGGAATATACTTTTATCTACCTGCAAATACAGTTCCAACTACAAGCACTGATTGGAAAATGAAGGTCTAAAGGAAAGCTGTGATTCAGTGGCTATAAAAGGCTTGAATTTAATATGTGAATTACAGAGAGAAGCAATTCAGTGGCTATAAAGTGCTGGAAAAACATGAATTAATGCCACAAGGAAAAACTATTGTAGAAGTATGCTTTGGTGGAAATTGAGAAATTTTAATTATTTTATTTCTCACTGTACCTATGATTGTACTCTATCTACATTTGGGATAATAAGGAGATAGATATAAATAATTCAGTAAAGAGGGGATAATTCATTTAATAAAAATTGATTCATAAGTACAGGGAATTCCTATATATAGAAATTATAATAAAAGGGCCAGAATAGCATGGTAACCTGGGAGTTTCTGTTCTGGATTAGAGCTGTGTTCTCATTCATTCTCCTGTCTTTACCTGGGAGACCTTAGCAACAGAGGAGAGAAAGTCATCCTTTTTTGGAAAAGATCTTGCAGAATTCAATATATTTCTATTAAAATATGGCATGTGCTCAAAACTCTTTTACTTAAACCACAAAAAAGTTAACAGCACAAAATGCCATTTTCATGCCTTGTATAACTTTCTGTACCCTGATAGTATTCTTAAGCATTAGGGAAAAATTCATTTAGCTTGAGTATCTGATATATCACAAAATGTGGGGAAATTGTATCTTATCCTTCTGCATCCTCCATCCTCTTCCCTACCTTCCCTCCAGTCCTTCCACCAAAACTGTTGTACCTGTGTACCTGATGCCAGTGAAGTCTGAAACACGTTGATAGGACAGTTTGTGGTCTTGAGCTGTGACACTGAACACAAGGAGTGTGTTGTAGGTGGAAAAATTTAGATAGTGTTTATTTGCTTATGTGTCAGTAAGTTTAATCTCTACCTACATGTTATGTAATTATTTTAAAATCCTATATGACACTGTTAATTTCAGCAGTAATTAGCAACCTGGTAACAACATAATTTTATCTAGAGACTGTTTTTTAAGTGAATGTTTATGAGTATGCCTAAAAAGCCATGCCAATGAAAACAAACCCCAAAAAGAGTATTGCATTTAGAGAAACTACAGATTTACTCATATCACTGCAAAGTCAACATGAATTACTAAGAATTTGAACGATAATCCCTCTTTATCCAGTACCTAATTAATGAAGGTTAATCAGATTCTTAAACGTCAAATCCTCCTACAAACTGTACTTCTGCCACCATTCCCATTAAATATCAGGGTCATGGCCCTGCTTATGCCTTTGCTTAAAACATTCCTGTGGGGTATTTTTACAATGTAAGGTCTTCATGGTACATGCACTCTGTATCAGGGAGGCAGTGGTACATATCTGAAGCCAATGAGAAATTCAGACATTGATGAGTTTGAAAAATAATTGACGTTTAAGGTGTGATTATGTTTTTTTTGTCTTAGTGAACCAAAATGCTTTTTGACATTAGCAGTAACTTTGCTGATTAAATATGGGCCTTTCTGAATTAACTGAGTATTGGATGTATTTGAAAGGTACAAATGGTCAAACCTTCTTTTTGCGCATTTACAGACTTCTCTTCATGTTCACACAGAAAAGTAATCCACAGCAGTCCATAGAAATGAGCATTTGTTTACCTATTTTTATTCAGCATACAAAATGCAGTGCATGCATATTCTATGTACCTTGTTTCTCACCATTAGTAAGATTTTGCACTTGATTTGACCTTGACCTGAAACTTTCTGAAATAACTGACCACTTGAGCGTTCCCGTGTAACACACAGTGTAAGCCTCTTTAGTGGATTGCTTTCTTCTTCATCACTAATTACTAGGTTCTTAAAAATGCAAAATTAATGCTGTGTTAATGTAAATTTTGCTGTAAAATTTTTGAAGTTGACTTCTGTTGTTGAATATTCCTATCCCCATAGCGTTACTAATTTATGTACATGACAAAGCATTCCTGCAAATTATATGCAAGGGTAATTTCTATTATATTGAACTTTAGCATTCTCACATTGTAATAATAGTAAATAAACTGTGAAAATACCTCTCAAGGGAATGCAGCTACATAGTCCAAACTGTGAAATACCTGTTCAACAGCACAGTGTTAGTTTACCTGCAAATAGAGCTTGTAATGTTGAAAGTACTCTTATTTTATCTACAGAAATGTTTCTATTATAATCCATCCAAATTGATTTCGGCCCCTGTCCCTGTTGCTTGTTCAGTGAAAAAGTAGAAAATTTCTTTTAAACAGTCATCTGCATTTTCCTAAAAACCAAGAGCAGAGTCACTCTGTAACTGGGAGGCAAAAGATCTATTTAAGAGAGAGAGAGAAGTGGCAGGAGTTGAATGTCTCCTACCTGCATATACAGAAGTGGAGGCTAAAAGGAAAGAAGTGGGTGAAGCTTGCCGTGAGGGTGTGTGGCAGCACAGTATGCTGTTGACAGGAGTGCCCAGTGTTAGCCTTCAGTTGGCAGTGTGCCTGCATGACCACAGACTGAGCCTTCTTCCCTCCCAGAGCATCACTGCAGAATGTGGTGGGGCCTACAGTCACTTCAGTCTTCATTGTCTTCTGGTATTTCTGCTAGGATGAGTCTGGAGCAGTATAGCCCTGCACCAGGAATGTATCTGGTAGTGTTGAAACTCCTAAAGAAGAGATCTTTTTGATTGAGTGTTTGTTTTTTTTTAATTTGTTGTTTGTTTTGTTTTGGTGTGTGTCTAAACTAACACTTGTGAGTCTCTGTTTGAGTGCCTGAATAAATGCACTGTTCTTTAAAAAACGGAAGAAAAGACCCTGTTTCTGACAGTAAAAGGGATACTTGTTTGGTATTAAGCACTTAGGAAAACACAAGCATTTTTTTCATGCTTTATATTGACTAGCAAATTGGGCAGGATATCAAGAGGTTTTTCTGCCTTTCATTGGCTCTGCAAGCTAAACACTGTTCTGTTGAGATTTCAAAGCAAGAAGCTGGAAGTTTCTGATGCAGGAGTTTGTTGAATCATGGTTATTTGAGACATTTACTGTGGAGCTATCAAGGAAACCCTCTCTCATTTGACAGTCTTTCTTTTAAAGCAGTTTTTAATTTCCTGCAGTTTTATTTGTACTTGTTTAGAAGACATTGTGTAATTATCAGTGTGAGTTACCCGGAAATTCCAACAATGTGACAATGTTTTGCCATCTTTCCAGGACATGTCACTGAGGATATACCTGTGTGACTGAGTGCCCTCCAGATGCTTGTGACCAGATTGCTTTGTAATAGTAATGTCTCGGATTACAAACTTTTCTTGTGATGTTTCATTGTCCTGTGAGAAAGTATAAAGCCCAAAATGGTTGTTACTTCCCTTGTTTTCAATGTGTTAGCAAGGCAGAACCTTTACCTAATACTTTTCTGTTACTGAATTTCAAACTGAGTTTGGTTAGATTATTTAAAGTTACTTCTTCATTCTCTTTGTATTTATGACAAGTTTCATATTCCATAACCCAGGAAGAGAGAACAGAGCTCAGAGAACAGACACTCAGCAGTGTCAATTGACTGGACAGTGTCTGTACATCAGCAGAAGGACCTCATTACTGCTTACTGCCACAGCAGGCTCCACATCTTCATGTTACAAGTCTTCAGTAGAGGTTTGGGGAAGCTCCCTGCTGAGAACAGCTACTGGGCACATCAGCTGTATCTCAGACTTATATTATATGGTTTTATTTTTTATACACTTTGTATACTCCTTGTCAATACATTTCTTTATTATTCAGAGGCATAACTTGATGATTTTAACATTAGGCCATTTCTGCACAAAGAGTACTGAAGTAGAGACTGTATCTTAACTCACAGTTTCTTTTTGGTTTGTTAACTTCTTCTAGTTTACTAATGTTTCTCTTGCTCTCAGTTAGAAGACAAGCTACCTCTTCTATATCCTTCAGGGCTATGCCAACATCAGACAAAACACAGAGCAACATGTGACCCCCAGAGCTGGTTAAAACTTCCTGCACCTTAGGCTTTAGCTACTGAGTCAAACACCAATCTGAGGGCTATTCTTTCTGGCTGCTAGAGTCTGAAATCCTGGCTTCCACCATCCTGAAAAGACACCACCAGTTGGCTGCTATTTTTCTAAAAAAGTAGTTTAAATTAGTTATCTAAGAAGGAAAGTTTCATGTATCCCATAGTAAATGTGTGTCTTTGAGATCTCCATGGTCGACCTTTTTCTCACACTTACAGAATCACAGAATATGCTGAGTTGGAAGTAACTCACAAGGATCACAGAGTCCAAACCCCAGTCCTGCAAAGGACCATCCCCAAGAGTCACACTGTGTGCCTGAGGCTATCATCCAAATCCTTCTTGAATTCCGGCAGGCTTGGTGCTGTGACCATCCCGACTCTCTCTTAGTTTTAGTCTTTGACTACTTGTTCCATCTTTGAATTTCAAGGAACTGAGAAGTGCTGGTCCTTCTGTCATTCTTCACCTTCCTTGGGGGCATGGGGGTCTATGTATATCCTATCTGTAGCTGAAATGAGCCATACCTTGCTGTGCAACCTTCGCTTCCTACTCCATCAAAAGGAGTCATGGTTGTGTAAAGTAATCATTCCTTTCTTTCATGTTTGTGGTCTGACATCATTAATACTGACAGTACAGCTCTGGGAATCATTTGCTAGTTAGGTTGAACAGCCTCTCTGCTGTCTCAGCATTGACAGGTTGCAAAATGTTTAATGTATTACTTCGTATTAAAAACGCATTTCAGTTACAAATCCGTCAGTAGATCTAAAAATCAAAATAGATGCTCAGAATTCAGAAGTACTATAAATATCAAATTTTAATGTATTGCTCTTTCCTAGAGTGTTCATCTGTGGGTAGCAGTTCTGTATATAATCATTGCTATCCACATTGCTGGCACAGTTGTACAGAGACAAACAAGGAAATATAGTCAAATGAAACCTTGGTCAAGTGTTTAGTCCCAGGGGATTGCAGCTATCTCATGACAGTATTTTTATGCTTTATGTTGTTAGACTAGGCAATACCTCTGAAACCAAAGCCAGGAATAAGGTAGTGATGTACGAAGAAAAAGTAAAAGCATGCAGTGAGAAATCTTTGAGTAGAAAATGCATTGCCTGCTTTTTAGATCTAAATGGATGCTGATGACCTAAGCATGGTAACTTTAGCACATTTTTATGCATGGCATATCACACCTGAGTACAGGAATTACTCTTTCTAATGCAAGAAAGATAATTTACATAGCTGATCTTCCAGCTTTTTTTATGCTATTGAGTGTATAAAGCATCTAGCTGGTTTAAATGCCACTGATGGATACAAATTAATCATATAGGACAATTTCCAGAGGTGTTTTTGAGGAAGGTGATGTGTTAAGTATGTTTCCTTCACCTTTTGGATCTGTATATTGAATATTTTAGTAGGTTAAATGCAATACCTAACATGTATATTTAATATTTTATCAAAAGTGAAGTTTTATTTTGAGTCATACGCATGATATTTAAAATATTGGGTAACTTCCAAGTAATTCTTGTTTTTAAATTTCAGGGCTTTCAGCAAATGTCAAGTGTTAATCTTAAGCCCGCTCTTAAATTCTAATCAGCTAAGAGCATAATTGTTCACTAGAGAGTGAAGTCAATTACCTTCTTATACACAGTGACTTCAAGAACTATTTGGAAGGAAGTTCCAGAGTTGGTGACCACGTTCTCCAAAATGGAAGGAAATACTCTGCATACCAAAGATCACAGTAGGCACCCTCACTTTGAAGAGACAAGGGTAACCTTTTTGCCCTGGCATCTAGAGTGTTTTTGAAGTTAGTGGGACTCCTTCCAGTGAGGTGAAGATTTTAAATGAGGTTGCGGAAGTGCTGGCTGTTGATCTTTGGATGAGAATGGAGCAGTACCATTAAGTGCACTACATTTTAGAAACCTTGGAGCTTATTTCTTCTGATTCACTATGTAGGTTACAACTTTTCTAGAGTCTGGACATTTCTCTGTGTGTAGTGTTTGTGTGTGCCATCATTTTGGAGCAAGCTATAAAAATATGTAGTAAGGAGAGTATTGTCCCTTGGAAACAAGTGGTGAAGGCTGATGGATGTAAGCTGTTTTTATATAAGGCCACATTCCCTAGTATTTAGTTGTAGGTAAAAGATGTCTCCAGGATCACTGGATTAGGAAAAAAGTGGTTTATCCTAATTCTTAGGTACCTCTGGAAATCTGGTCCGTCTGCACTCCTTAACTTGCAACAGGATCTGTTGTACTTGACTGGTGCCTCGGATGCCTCTGGCGTGACATCTGAAGTAAAGATCGAAGATTTCCCAAGGGAAGATGGAACGTGGGGCTGTGAATGTGTTCTCACTATTTAAATAATCATTAGGCCAGATTTTGCTGGATTCACAGATGCACAACCAGTCTTCCATATTCATGAACACTCTTCATCTGCTTTGACAAATGGTGCAATTTGAGAATTAAGCTTTCATCTTTTTCCTTCTGTTTAACCAGTTCACCTTGGGTTCAGAAATTGTAAGGTTGCTGAATTCACAGACAGCTCCAGGTGAATCTGTCCATTTAATTTATATCTTCAGCTAGAGTGTTGTCCAGTGAAAATCAGTAATGTATGTTTTACTCCTATTTCCTATGCATCTTCTGCTGATTTAGAACATAATGACTTTTTCTCTGGAACAGGTTTTCAAGTTATCTTCCTGCCAACTCCTACAGAATTTCCCAGTATCCTCTTCTATATTTATAAAATTTATAGCCTAGATTAACACCTGGTGGAGAGCAGGAGAAAGAGCATGTAGTTCTCTGCTGTTGGGGGAGACAAAGAAAAGAAAAAGATTCAATGCAGGGTTGAAATCATGCTTTAAATAAAACATCATACTTGTCCAAAAAACATTTACAGTATTTCCTCAAGTAAAAACAACAGTATTGATAATGGTGGCAATGCTTATCATTTGCAGTTCCTGTACTAATATTGTCAGTGTACACTATTGCATTCAGTTTAAAAAGTGCAGCAAACCCACCTGACCACTAAATGGCACTCTTTCCTTTTCAGAGCTAACACTAGAGGAAAGGTATTTAAATCAAGGTAGAGGGATAATATGCAAATATATGTTTTCTTCATATCTAATTCCAAAATCGCTGTTTGTCACTGAAAGAAAACTAACTTATTTATTAATTTTTTGCTTTGCATCTGGTATGGCTGGTATAATCTGAACAGAAACTGATGAATTTGTAATGACTTGGTTTTAGCTGTTGCATTGCTTCGTAGGTTTGTATCACTGCCTTCTGTGAAGAACTTCACCCATAACATGAAGAAAAGCAACTTAATTTCTTTGCAACTTAGGTTTTTATTTGATTCTTGTTAGGAATTTGAATTACTCCTCATTGCTAAGTTTTTTGATGTTTAATGAGATTAGAGCAAATGTAGTGCAGGCCTGGATAGAGACCAGTGAGGTCTAACCATTTTGTTTTTTTCAGGTATTTTCACATGAGTGTCAAGTACATGGAGAGTTAACAGACATCTGCATGTTATGCAGAGTTGTTACCTATGCAGAAGAAAGTATTTTTGGAAGAAATTAAGCCCATGTAGTTTTACATGTAATTTTCTGATACATCAATCTTCTTTCACTGCATTGTGTTCTATGGGACTTCAGTGGAAATACCAGTATCAGATTCGAAAATTACATAAAGAGAAAAATGGTTTAGATAACTTACTTAAAGAAAACAGCCTCCCAAATACTTCTATACAGGCTGATGGTTTCTTTGCTTGCCGTGACTGTATAATTAAAAACACTGGCTGACAGGCCAGTATAACTGAAGCATCCATGTCACACCCTCGAAGTGTGACTTTGAACAACCAACTTTTGTGACTTTCTCAGATAGGGGCCTCAGTTCATCAAGTCCAGTCTCCCAAATAGTAAAGTAATTATACTTTGCAGAGTTATGCTTTGCAACCTTAAAATATATACTTGACTAACACATATCTGTCAGAACAGCATTAACCTTAATTTTAAATATGTTCAAAGACAGTCAGTCACCAATTTTATGTTTAGTGTTTGGTGTTTCCCCCTGCCCCCCCCCCAAAAAAAAAAAACAACAACCTATTAACAGTTTGACTACTGCTTGTTTAGGGAGGTCTGGAATTTTCACACTTACAAGATCACATACAGCAGAGTGTACCCTTCAATCATCTTTACAAGGCAGGATAGTAACCAAGTTAAGCCCGACTTCAGTGACTTCAGAGTCACCAATTCCATACTGGTAGAGCCAAAGGCTTGTGTTGGATGTTTTTGCAGTGGCAGCACATTGAGTTACTGGTTTACTCTGAACCAAAACTGCACTGGTGTAGTGCTAATCTTTGTTTCTAGGGCTAAAATCTTACTCTGGGCTCCATTTAAACAGTTTTGGTTATAATCATCTGGTTTAATGGCTCTTCAAGATTGCTGAGCTTGTCTGATATTTTGACCCCGGACCTTTTTACCAAGTATAATCTATTACTATTTTAATTTATTTTTCTTTAAGGTAAAATATATTGCCCTCAAAACTTGGTTGGATTTCAAGCCCTACTGATTTTTTTTTTTGAATATTTGAGACTTTTAGAGGAAGTGTGAAAAGGCATCAGCATAATGATCAATTGTTTTATTGCTTTTCAGAAAGGTGCATCTATATTCCTTGGCATGTGCTTTATCTGCAGCATAGATATATGACTAGCAGTCTGAAAATCAATTGGAAAAATTATGCTGTTATTTTGACCATTAATTGGAAGAACTCCTCAGATCACTTACAAACCTGGTGTAGCAGTGACCTCTACTCTTCAAAGTTCTTCATCAGGACTAAAAAAACTGAACTTTTGGAAGAACCACAGGATGGACCTGTGACACATGTCAGATTAGATGATCCCAAATAGTTTCATTTGGCCTTGAAATCTAGTAAATCATATGCAGTAATTGTAAGGTGTAGCAAAGTCTGCAAGCTGTGTAAATGGGCAGAGTTTTAAAAATGCGGGTACAACAAATGGTATTCTGTTTCTCCGTTTTCTTTCTGGCAAGAGAGGCTTCATACCATTCTCTTTCCTTAACTACCACTAAGCTTTCTTGTCATCTAGCCAACTTGTGAATATCATTTCCGTGGTATTGCATAAAAAGCTGTGTGAGCAACCTAGGAAATTCTTGTGTTTGTTGTCTTCTAGTGTCCATCTTTTGCTTGCTGTCATGATATAATCAGTGAGCAACCTTCCCTTTCTAGTCCTGTGAACATACAAATGTTCTTCGTTCATGTCCTGGTTTAGAGGGTACCTGATGGTGGATGCCCATAGGAGGAAGCTGTGTATTCTGTCTTAGCCTGTTATTTCACCTGCTGTTCTTTAAAACCTCTCTATTTCTCCTCTTGGTTCAGAGGTCTATCAGTAGGTGCTGATAGTGCTGCTGGCCTTGCTTGTGGAATACTGAGTGGAAGGGCTGTGGGTGATGCTTTACCTACTTTCCTCTGCTTTTCTCTGCTTTACCTACTTTACCTACTTTTCTCTGCTGCTTTGCAGTTACACTGGAGCAGTCAGCTGGAGTAGTAACAGCTGTTTGCTTATGCATGATGGTATGCAAGATTGTTCAGTGAATGCAGACACGTTTGGGCTGAATTTCCTTTCCTGTCTGAGCGTGGGGGCCAGGCTGCAGCTTAGGCCAGGTCAGGTCTGTAACTACTCCAGACAGAGTCTATGAAGACAATGGAATTGACTTTTCCCAGTAAATGTTTATTTTTGTTTTCTGAAGGGGTTGATTTTATTTAGTATACATTTTTGTTAGATTTACTAAATAGTTCTACAAAACTGATTATGTATGATTTTGACACTTTTAGCACTAAGAAAAACAAAACCAAACCTCAATAGCAGTTAAGCACATAGTGATTTTGAAGTTTCTCAAGGGAGATGGGTAAATATTGGAGTTAGTAACTAATTAGTGTTTCAGAGTTGGGGCAGTTTAATCACTAAACAAAAACAATGGCCGCAAAATTCCCTGGGTGTGGGGGGTGTGTGTGTGTCTTGATTAGTTGGGTGGTTTCTGTTTTGTTTTTGAAGGAAACCATACCCACCTTAAAGAGACAAAAAGGAGGAACGTGTATTGGTTGCATTGTATAATAAATATGGAAAATGTGTTCCCTGAGAAAAGAGAGGGAGGTCTTTTTTGTTGTGGATTCCCTAATCGCTTCAATGTTGTGTGTAAATTTCTCAAGAACAGTATGCGAGTGACTTCTGGGAAGGAAGGAATGAGTCTGAAATACCTACGACCAAAGTGCTGCTGTAGGGACTGCTCAGTGATTTGCTTGTCACCGGAGTTGACAAAGGCTGTCGTTCTGTGACTGGAAAGATGAACAGCTCTACTGGCAGCTGTACCTGGTGCTCCTGCCAGTGACTGCCAGTATGGCTGTAATAGAAATCCAAATAGCCTCGTAATCTTGCAAAACAAAAATGCCTCATACAATTTTTGTGGTGAGCTTTTGTTGTTGGAGTCTGCAAGGAGAGGTGACATTGTGGTTTTATTTAATAATTTATCTTGGGAAACTGTGCTTTTGGAGGTTATCTGTGTACTAATTGTTAAAATAAATTTCTTGTGACTACAACCATTCAGTACAAACCACAATAAATTAATCTTGCTTTCCCGTCAGTCTTGATTTCAGCTAGGCCTAGATTAATAGTTGAAACCAAGAGACAATGCTCCTGAAAACACTTGCTATTGAGTTTTGACAGGTTTACTTGCGGTGAGTGACAGTTGAGGATATTGTTGTTAGAGTAGTCATTCCTTCAGGGGCTTGTATTTTGCCTACAGAAATGCCCTGCAGGCCTTTTTATATTCCTCCTTTTAAGATGCCAGTGTCACAGTCACTCCTGTTTCTCTCCTTTTCTTGAAGGCATCATGTAGCTTAAATAGAAACCCAAATGTGATCAGACCTGGAACTAAAATTATTATTTTTCTCTTGGCTGAAAAAGGAACTTGTAGGCAGAGAGCTCTTGTGGCAGGTGGCATCCCTCTTGGGTTTTCCTCCATGTTTTGTAGGAAGAGAGACAAAGGTTTCCCAGTTTCTGATACTTTATGGTTATTACAGGGGCACGGCTTTATGCTTCCATCTGAAACTGGCACTTTCAGTAATACTTCTTCCGTTCTTAATGGAAAAGTGGAGTTTTGGACTGTTCTGTTTTCTTCCGTCATCCAGGACCCGTGGTGTTTTTGTTTTCTATTACCCACTGAGAGCTCCTGTGCCTTGTGTGCCTCCCAGTGAGGCAGCCTTGCACTTTATAGCTCCATTGGTAAGTCAGGAGGACCAAGGAGTCTGAGGGCTCAGGCTTGTGTATAGGCCAAGAACAGAAGTGTACTACCTGCAGAGGTCGTCTGGACCAGCCTCCTTTATCCCATGAACCTACCTGCAGCTGCTACCTATGGTAAATTAATGTAACCAGTTATCTTCAAAACCTCTTTGTAAATAAATTGATGCACTTATATGGACCATGTGGTGATTACTACCATGCATAGAGACCAAATGACTGAGCCTCCACATCTTATTTTAATGGATATTCATACTGTTCAGTTATGAGACTTCCTACAACGTGGCAGAGTTAGGTGTGATTGGTGGGGCTCAAATCATTAGTCTTTCATTATAGTCTTTCTCTCATTTGTGTACATGGTTTTTATTCATGCTCACGTCACAAAACAAGTCACAGACTATAGTGCTAAAAATACAAGCCTGTGACTTCATCCTGACCGATAGTTTTGCCAAAAGATAATTAAAGTTAGTTGTTATTTTAAAAGTCCTAATGT